TTATGGTAATATCCTCTCTTTTCTCCCCTCGATATCCATGCATTGACCTTCAATTTTCTAAGTGAAGGGTGAACTATATCTCGTACTATAATATTATAGGATTAATCTTCCTACACTGACGGTGTATACACTATCAACGTTGGATGAATGACAACTATGCAAAAGTTGAATTTATGTGTCATGAATTCAACGGTGATAGTGTGTACACTGTCAGTGTATATAAGATTTACTCTAATATTATTATTGTTTGCATAGGCAGGATAGGATATAAAATTACATACTTGTAATGTCTACCATTCCTAGAACAGGGAAATCTGGTGAACATAATAAATGTTCAATTGGTTGATCATATCTTCTTTAGTTCTCTCTTTTTAATGGATGCCAGAAAACAAAGTGCACAACAATTTCAAAGGGTCGCTCTTGTCCAACCTAGCTTGGATTCTACATAGTACTGAAAATTTTTTTTATGCCACTAGATTAGTGCAGATATTAACATGGGCTAATCTCCCTAAATCTTGAAAAGAGTCTCAAACTCTTAATAGCATTAATTTATTGATTGCTAATTGACTTTGATTAGCTACTAACATGCAGATTCATATACCTTCAGTTTTCCAGTCAAATTCTTGAAAGTTCAAGCTATAGATAGAAGAAATTATATGAGGCAAGGATTGATATGGACGAATTAATCATAAAATCAGGACATCATCCACACCTTAATTAAACTAGTGATCTTCCATCATTACCTGGTGTCCAAGTTTGAGGTGTTTGCAAGGATAGCATGTTCTTGCTGTTTTTCCGCCTGTGAATTGCTTCTCATACGTCTCCTTCAACCTGATTTTCTGCCATAAATTTGCACAGACATGGAAGCTGTAAAGTCAGACATTATGTCATTTTCCGTACACTTGATGCTTGAGCATGCGTTGCAAATTCAATTCTAGGGAAGAAATCCTGATTTCTTTGAGGATTAATAACACTTTGCCCCCTAAACATTTGGGGTGGCAACGTTTGACCACCCTAAACTTCAAAGAATATACATTTTTTTGTCCCTAAAAGTGAATATTGTTTGTACTTATAATTTTGATTAACCCATTTGAAAATTTTCCTTCCCAAATTATTCTAAAAAATTTCTGGATTTTCAGTGGTTAACTTTTAAACTGTTGCACTTTCCTGCTAGATATTCATCGTAATATTCTATTGCTGCATGCTATTATATCGGACTACAATTTAGTTAGCTTGTTGTACAATCTTATGTTGTATTTTTGCACCCTGTAAATGGGGTCGGGTTCCACAATCCCGCCCCTGCCTTTTATATAATGTATTATAGCATTAGTGTATATGTATTTATTGTAATTTAAAATAAACAATAAGACATTTTGTTGTTATAAAAGAATGCATCTTTTTTTTGTTTATTGTATTTGTGATAAAAATTATGATTTTGTTATGTTCGTCTGCTTCATTTTTTTATTCGTCACGCTGCATAATGTTTATAAAAGATAAAAAAAACAATAGGTATTGATTTAGATTTCACATAGTATCAAATGTGAAAAAATGAAGGGAAAATCGTTCAAAACATTTTTCACATTTTGTAAAAATAAATTTTTTCGTCCGTTAATTTTAAAAGTGTACTTTTACATCCCCTTACATATTTACAAATTCACATTGGTCAAATTTAGTTCCTATCTATGTTTTTGACTAGTTTTTTGTCGGAATCTATCATGTGCCTTGCACATGATTATTTTTTAGGGGTAAAATTGTCAAACATATTTCACATAATTTGATCCATAATTCCTCACATTTTACAAAATAAAATTTTTCATCCCTTATATTTCATAAAATAAATTTTTTCATCTCTCACATTTTAAAAAAAAAATTTGGTCTCTCATTGATCATGTGTACGATAATCTTTTCTTATTTTCGAAAACTCATATATATGTCTATTGATTTCACCGGAACAGTACAAATAACATGTAATATATCTCTATTTAATTTCACCTGAATAAACTAATTGTAGTTGTAGATGACACCAAATACAGATATATTACATGCTATTCGTATTGTTTAGGTAAAATCAAATAGATATATACATGTGTTAAAAAAAAAAGAGACCATTTGTACACATGATCAATAAGAGATTAAAAAATTCATTTTGTGAAATGTGAGAGATGGAAAATTTCATTTTTTGAAATGTAAGGGATGAAAAAATTCATTTTGTAAATTGTAAGGAATGAAAAAATCGAATTTATGTGAAATTTGATTGGACAATTTTGCCCTAAAAAATGATCACGTGCAAGGCACGTGGTGAATTCCGATAAAACACTAGTCGAAAACCTAGGTAGGAACCAAATTTGATCAATGTGACTTTATAGGGGATGTAAAATTATGCTTTTAAAAGTGAGGGATAAAAAAAGTTAATTTACAAAATATGAGGGACGTTTTGAACGATTTTTTTCAAAACTGAATTCAAAAGTTCAAAGTGATTTGTATGATTTGACATTGAATTTTTGGCTAGCTAAGAATTGAAAAGGTTGAAATCATCCTAGTATCTCCTAAACACACAGTCTGAGATGGAATTTCTCTTTGAGTAACTCAACCATACCGATACCGTATGGTCTGAGATGGAATTTCTCTTTGATTCATTCAACCATACCGTATATTCATGTGACGACTAGGTGCACATTGTTAATAGGATAGGATTATTTTTTTGAGGCCGTGAACGGAAAAGGTCATGAAAACGTCAACATATGGACATATAACAAATACTCACTGATTTTTTTTCCAAGTGGATGGTTTATTATTTTCCTATTTCCCTTGCCAAATGCTTCTTTTCATTTTAAATCAGTTTTTCAACTACAAATTGCTCTTTTCCTTTTCTTTTTTTTTTTTAACTCAAGGGAAAGTTTGAACGAAAGATGTAAAAGAGTATTATTGTTGATCACTTAAAATGGAGAATGAAAAATCAGATATTTGGTTAGTGGATTTCACCTACTGATCCATGATGAATCATTTTCATTAAGCAAACCATATAAAGGAACCAACCATTTGCCCGTCGTAGCTCCTTTTCTTGATTTCCTCGAGTTGGAACTATTCTTGGAAGCATGCATCTTGTTCGTGATACTTCATTGTAGGATTGCAAACGAATCTAATTACGAGCAGTTCAAGTACAAGTTCGACTTAAACTTAGTTAACATCGAGTTCGAGTTCAAAAATATTAAGTTCGTCAACTCGCGAACGGCTCGAACTCATGGTACTTCATAGTATGTATGTTCCATGTTTTATAAACCAGCCAATGCATATGTCCATGACTATGACTATGAGTTGATAAATGATGACTAGTAATTAACCAGTTAATGACAACCCCAAGTTTTCTTTTGAGAAAATAATAAATTTTATGCAAACAAGGAACAAAAAAAAAATGCAGACTTGAGATTGAGAACAAGGCAATTAATTGGCCGGTTCTGTCATTCCTTTCCTGGTGTGAAGTCGACTCATCTCATATAAAGCAGAGAATATATTGCAATGAATAATTGGAGGCTGGCTGTGGAGGAGGCCAATATCCAACATCAAAATGAACCCACATTTTTCTTTGGAGGATAATTAAAAGGACCCCACTTGCAAAAGTTGAAACACCCTGACAAACTTGAAAGTAAAACCCGTACTGGGCTGGTCGTGGTATCCTATCGTGGGAGTTGGTTATGTATCATACTGAGGCTGGGCGGGGAGTTTTGACTCTTTGGAAGCCATTTGTGGTCACATTTGTCCAACCTGGGCATTTAATTATGCCACCAGCATTGATTTCTATTGGCAGCCTCCCATCTGCCATCTACCTCTTCTTCTAAACACTTAAATTAATAAAATCCCCACAAGGACGTGCACCACAACATACACATCACGTTAACATACCCCACCCATAAACTAATCGTTTACTTGATTCAGCAAGAAACTTATTCTGGATCTGTGAACCCACCTTTTGATTTTCTTATTATGGATAAAAATTGCTCCTGTTTTTCTGCTGTTTACTCTCTATTATTAAGTGACAACAAGATGTTATTTGTTTTAAAGAAATAGAGTTGAGTTTGATGCTTGAAAACAAGAAAGGGTCACCTCCTTTCTTTCTTGTTTCTAGCATTACTGTTAGTGTTATTACCCTCCTCAGATCTCTCCAATTTTCTTTTCTTCTTTTGATTGACTATAAGCCCATAAAAGGGTTCATTTAATCAAGAAAAGGCCAAAAATTTCTTGTTTGTTTCTCCTCAAAGTCTTCATTTATACCTGGGATGCCTGCCCCGCGCAACAACCCTCCTCTGTGCTTCATTTCATTGCCGATGCTTTTGCATTGTTCGTGAGTTAAGATATACTCCTGCTATATTGTCTTTCCTTGTTCCAACTGAGTCCCAATTTTGATGGCCAATTAAGCTAGTAGTACTTTTTTTTAGTGGTCTACGTTTCCCATGGTTTTTCTCTCATTTGGAGTCAAACCCCTCTTAGTCAATCTTTCACGTTTTTGTGTCATTTGGCGATAATTCTCATGGTTATCTGAAAGCGAGGGACTCAGCCCCCTGCGCATTGCTTTCCAAGAACTTCTTCTCTTGTTTTGTTCAGCTGGCTCTCAGCTAAAGTTTGGTATTTTGGGTTGGCTGGATCTCGGTTCTTTTCCCACACAGACCTGTGTCTGTCTGCTGTTTACCATGTAATTCAATTCAGTTCACCTTTTACTTATCTCTTCTATCAGCTTTCTGCTTTTAGGATTTCGAACTTTCTTTTTTAAGCCCAAGCAAAATTCTGTTTAAGTATTATTACTCAACCTTCCATTTTCATGGCATCCAAACTTTGATTTTCTTGATCATGTATTGGCCTTCATTGATCTTCCTGAATTCCGCTAGAGTTTTAATCTTGATCATGTATTGGCCTTGACTGGTATTCACCTTGATGTAGTCATGGGCAATTGGAAATTCCCGTCTATCAAAGTCGTCTTTTTTTGTCTAGTCTTCTTCAAACATGTATGTCCAGTGTTCAGAATAGAGGCAGGTTGAATCTGGGATTTCAGGGCTCAAATGAATTGGATAGATAATGATGGGCTGATTCTTCTCTCCAACAATTCGGTTTTCGCGTTTGGTTTCAACCCCACACAAGATGTCACTTTGTTTCAACTTGTGGTTGTTCGCAATGGCGGCTCAACAATCATTTGGTCTGCTAATAGAGGCAATCTGATTCATAATTCAGATTTACTCATATTCGACAGAAGCGGGAATGCTTACTTGCAAAGTGGGGGATCCACTATTTGGTCCACAGGTACTGCCAACAAAGGAGTTGTAGCAATGGAATTGCTGGACTCGGGGAATTTGGTACTTGTTGGCAATGATAGCAGCGTAATATGGCAGAGTTTTAGCCATCCAACTGATACCCTTATGTCGAATCAGGAGTTCACTGAAGGAATGAAACTTGTTAGCAATCCCAGCTCCAATAACTTGAGCTACTCCCTCGAGATAAAGTCTGGAGATGTGATTCTGTCGGCAGATTATCAGCCTCCGCAGCCGTACTGGGCCATGGGAAAGGATAACAGAAGAATCATCAACAAGGATGGTGGGTATGTTGTATCTGCAACTCTTGAAGCCAATTCTTGGAGGTTTTATGGACAAAATCGAGCGTTGCTTTGGCAGTTTTTATTCTCTGATAACCGGGACGCAAATGCCACATGGGTGGCAGTTCTGGGAAGTGATGGTTTGATTATTTTCAGCCTTCTTCAATCTGATAATACCATTAGCGCCTCCTCAGTACAAATACCACAAGATCAGTGCAGCAGACCTGCAGCTTGCGATCCATATTTCGTTTGTTACAGCGGCAACAAATGCCAGTGCCCTTCAACCCTTCCCTCTTGCAAACTAGGGAATGTCTCGTTCTGCAACAGCTCACAGGACTCTGTGGAGCTTGTGAATGCAGGGGATGGTCTTAGTTACTTTGCTCTCGGGTTTGTTCCACCCTCTCAGAAAACAGATTTAAATGGCTGCAAAGCCTCTTGTCAAGGAAACTGCTCCTGTGCTGCTATGTTCCATGACAGCAATTCGGGAAACTGTTTCCTGTTTGATCAGATAGGAAGTTTGCAGGGTTCCACTAATGGACCTAACTATGCTTCTTATATTAAGGTCTTGACTAGTGCTGGCGGCGGGGCAAATCAAGGAGGTGGTGGAACTAACAAAGCACGCTTTGTGATTGTCATCGTGATTGTGATCTCAACTGTGCTCGTTATCGTTGGTCTTCTTTATGCAGGTTATCGTTACCACCAGAAGAAAAACAAGGCATTTCCTGAATCCCCCAAAGAGTCTTTGGAGGAGGAAAATTTTTTGGAAAATTTAACTGGAATGCCAGTTCGTTTTAGCTACAATGATCTTCAGACTGCAACTAATAACTTCAGTGTGAAGCTTGGTCAAGGTGGTTTTGGTTCTGTTTACCAGGGGATTCTTCCTGATGGCACTCGATTGGCTGTGAAGAAATTGGAAAGCATAGGTCAAGGGAAGAAAGAATTTCGGGCTGAAGTTAGCATTATTGGAGCATTCATCATCTTCATTTGGTCAGGCTTAAAGGCTTTTGTGCTGAAGGAAGTCACCGTCTCCTTGTCTACGAGTACATGGCAAATGGATCTCTTGATAGATGGCTTTTCCCGAAAAAAAGGGGAATTCATGTTGGATTGGGAAACTAGGTACAGCATTGCACTAGGAACAGCTAAAGGTCTGGCTTATCTCCATGAAGATTGTGATGTGAAGATTGTTCATTGTGATATAAAGCCTGAGAATGTACTTCTTGATGACCACTTTCTTGCGAAAGTCTCAGATTTTGGTCTTGCCAAGCTTATGACTCGAGAGCAGAGTCATGTTTTCACAACATTAAGGGGAACAAGGGGGTATCTTGCACCAGAATGGATCACAAACTATGCTATATCGGAGAAAAGTGACGTTTACAGTTATGGCATGGTGCTGCTAGAGATAATTGGAGGTCGAAAGAACTATGATCCCTCACAGTCCTCAGAGAAATCCCATTTTCCAACTTATGCTTTTAAAATGATGGAAGACGGAAAATTGAAGGACATCATTGATACAAGTTTGAAGATAGGTGAAGACGATGAGAGGGTTTCTACAGCAATAAAAGTTGCTTTGTGGTGCATACAGGATGAGATGTCCCTAAGACCATCGATGACCAAGGTAGTTCAGATGCTGGAAGGAATCTGCCCTGTCCCTCCACCTCCTTCTTCTCAATTAGGGTCGCGACTTTATGCAGGATTCCTCAAGTCAATAAGCGATGAGGGCACCGGCACCGGCACCTCATCAGGGCCTTCAGACTGTAACAGTGATGCTTACCTTTCGGCTATTAGGCTTTCAGGGCCAAGATAGCACCCGCATAAGGTGAAGCAGCAGTTTCATTCAAATTGAGGCCACCAGTGGAAGAACATTAATATGTGCTGTCCTTTTTTGGTTCCCTGTACATTCATTAGGTTTTGTTTTTGCTTTTCAGGGAGAAATTTTGCTATGCTAGTCTTCACAAAGATTGATATGATGTTTGCACATGCTTGCTTTGTAAATCTATGACAGATAATGTTTATGAATTTATACATGATACATGATTCGATTAGCAAATATTTTTCTCATTGTAGCTGATAAACGCACCAATGTATTAAGAAAAACATGCAATGACTGGACATTCTGATCACTGAATGTCTTACAGTTAGCCCAATCTTTTACTTGCGGCTGCAGTCTCTGTCTTTTTCTGGGATTAACTTTAGCATCCAGCTATGTACCTAGCTAGTCCTCTATAAGGAGTATGTTAAATGAAATTGCAAAACCAGGAAATTAATGCCAGTGAGAAAACATATATTGCTCAAACACTGCCTTAAATACATCTGTCTTAAACTGAAAACAAGAAAGAGCATAATCAGGTCAATATCTGCCGAACTATGAGTTGTTGAGAGAAGAAGAGTATGATTTTATAAAAATAGTTTCAGCATTACCATTCTGATAGAAGGAACAGCTACAACTTGAGTACTCAAACGAAATGGCTTTGTTACAGAGCTAACTCAGTATGAGCATAATCAATATACATAGGGTATTACGGGTTCATGTGCCATAAATACCATCTTTTACTAGAATTTAAAGTACACAAACACCATCTTCTACTAGAATTTAAAGTACACAGACACCATCTTTTACTAGAGTTTATTGTACTTGCAAGGAGATCTCAACAATACAAGAATGCGGAGGATGCAGAAAGCAATGCATTTGATGCGCCAATCTTGGAGATTCATTCACTTGGGCGTCTAGCTTCAAATAAAGCACAACTGTGAGATTTCATCTCATATGTGGCCAATCCATCCTCTATACAAGCACCATTTGCTGTGAAAAATCCAGGAAAAGGAAGGGCCGTGTCAACCAAATGAAACCATACCATATCTGCTGGAGGTGGGGAAGAGTAATGCTCTCTGACAGATCTGCAACGTTGAAGGCAGCAAACAAGTCACCACAGGCATTAGGAACTGAGTTAGACTCGATATCTTCAGAACTGGCCTTCAAGGTCATAGCTAGGAATCTGCTAGCTGCGTCATCCCAACTTGGTGGAGCCTGGTTGCTTCCATGCCACTCAATACTCTCTTCTCTCAAGAAATTCCTCTTCTGAAGAAGATCACTTCGCCTTATTCTCAGTGAAGTCAAAAAAGAAATAAACTGCACTGTTTGGATACTAAAACCACTTCTTAGAGCGTTCCAGTCGAAGGAATTTCTATCACCATATGCAGGAGAACCCCCAGAAGACTGACCACATTCATCTCCCATATTAAGGACCGGAACACCCAAGGAAATAAACAAAATGAACAGAAAATTGCGAATTTGTTTGAGTCGTCTTTCTAACACATCATTTTTATTTGTAGCACCTTCTTCCCCACAATTCCAACTATACTCCTTTGCCAGCTTGGAGCTACTGAAGCTGACTAAATCCACAAGCGAAAGTCCAAAATTTCTAGCAATAAAATTGAAAGAGAAGGCAGGGCCTCGACCATCCAAGAAGACATCCCCACTTCCACATATACGAGTAGCAAGGTCGCTCAGAAGACCTTCACCCTCAAGAAGTTTCTTATGTCATAACAAAATTTGTTATTTATTTCTGCCCATTTCTTCCAGTGAGGGAAGAGGACTTCCTTTACCTTCATTTCACGTGGATCCCAAGAATCTGCAATTATCTTCACCTTTGAAAGTAAGGGATCAAAAGCTATTGCTTCAACCAAAGGTGGGCGTGACAGGTACTCCCCATGGAACCCCCTCAACAAAGAAGAAGCATTAACGAAACAGAACCCATCAATGTGAAACTCAATCACCCAATGCCGGAGACAATCCAAAATCAATTGTGCAACGACAGGGTAATTGCAATTCAAAGCATGTTCACTTCCCGTGTCATCAACTGTTTTGACATGACAGTAGGAAGTGTTATCAATAATTCTTAGAGCTCCAACCTCAGCAGCGTGGGTAAAATCAACTTCCAGAAGAACTTCTATCCCATTATTATGTAATTTCTTCACCATCTCCTTCATGGTATTGATACAAGACACTGGATCACCAGGAGATCCATATTGGTTTGCAGGAGAAAAGAAATGCCATGGGAAATAAGGCCCTTTCTGCTCATCAAAAGGGAAAACTGGCTCCAACAGGATAGCATTCACCCCAAGATCTTTAAAATGATGCAACTTCTCCGTGACACCTAAGAAGCTACCTCCAAGATTATTAGGTAAATTACTGGACTTATCCTTTGTAAAGCGCATGACATTTAATCTGTAGACAACTAGTTCCTCCAACCGTAAACAAGGGCGCATTTGCTGGCCCCAATCAAAAGGAGGTACCTTGCTCAACTGTCCAAGACATGTCAATAATGAAGTAGACTGACTACCTGCAGGAACATCTCCAATCAATTTGGCATATGGATCCAAGAGGACATGCTCTTGCTCTGCATCTTCAGCTACTTTGCACCGATAACCATAACTTGCAAACTGGAAGCTACGGTCTATTGAGGCATGCCAAATGTCACCTGATTTATTGACGTATGGATCTAAGTCAATCTCTAAATTAGGTCTATGAGTAGTTTTGCCATCATACAAGCACAGAACTACACTTTCAGCAGTTCGTGAAAAAAGAGCAAAATTTAGAGAGCCGTCCGCTGAAAAGGAGAGACCTAATGGACTAGGATTTCCAGAACCAAAACCAACAGGCACTACAAAACTCGTCTTCCTATGACTCCTAATTTCCAAGCTGCTCATACCTGCATCAAGTTGAGATCTCAACAGAAAGGAAAAGTAGAATGGAGCTAAGGTCAATTCAAAATCCAACTCAACTGCAAGTGTGCCTTCAGATTCTTGCATAAATGGGGTTTCCATGGTAATAGTTTTGCCATCCAAGGTGGAACCTTGAAAGTCTAAAGGCATGAAACTTGACGAGTGTGACCTAAATAGACCCCAGCTCATAACCAGCTCATTCTCTCTGTGTGGAAGCTGTAAGGAAAGAGCCTTAATCAGCAAGCTGTATTTATCATTTTTCTTCCCGACAAGCACCTTCAGCAGATCACCGTTCTCTGTCCTGAATTGATAACTAGATACTTCTTCTATGATTTGAATAACTGAAGTGTTTGATGCAGGTAAGGCACTTATTCTGAGACCCTCATAAGAATTTCTTTGGGAAAATCTAATGACTTCACCGATTCTTTGATCTTTTGCATACAACTTCATCAAGCTGGACATCAGCCCTTTCGCATTTCTTCCACGCATGGCAGCGACAAACTTAGAAGACTCAAAAGCCCCACATCCAAGCCAATGCGATTGCATTGTGAAGGATAACAAAGGACAGCCATTGTGGGATGCAAGTGGAGATAATACCATGTTGACAGACATAAAACTTACTGAGATGACAGGGCCTCTCTTTTTCTCTTCCGAATTAGTTCTGTCAAAAACAAGATCAATTTCACTTAGCAAATGAGAGGCAGAAAAGAAGCACGTTGGAAAAGAGTGCACTTTGATACATTATCAAAATAATGCATGAACACCATCCATATTCATGGACATGATTTGCCAGGAAATGCACACCTAAGCTTCAGCTAAAATCAAAATCTTGAATTCACCAGCTGTTACAGATATTAGTCAATTTGTTTTTGAAAAATAGTTAGCTGTAACTTATAATCACTACAAAGTCTATGAACTCAATTACACTTACATTATTTTTAGATAGTCTAGAATGCCAAAGTAAAAGGTAATCTTTTTAAATAATTCCTTCTCGGAGTAAAGGAGTATCCCACAACGGAAAAAACCTCCGTTGCCATCTCCACGCTGAACCAAAATTTTCAATTCAAACAGCAACTCTTCCTGGGGTTGCCATTTCCTTTAATCGTTTCCTGGTCTCTTGCTAATATATACAACTTCCGAGGTAATATAAGCTCATAACTTGAACTAGAAAACAATTTTATGTACGAAAGCGCCAAAAAGGTCAGCAAAACCGAAAATACACTGGCCAATTAGAAATAGAAATAACCAGTAACGCATAAATCAGGATGTACAGAGGGGACCGATGATTTCAACTGAGAAGCAAACATCAAAGTAGCAAAATGCCAAAAATACCAAGAACTGAAAAAGGGGTGTTGAGGGTAGGGAGGAAAACCAAAAGAAGTTGTGAGCTTTTCGAAGTTAAAGAGGCCTAAACTGCAAATTCAAGGAAAACCCATTCTCCTTAGGGAAAACCAGCATTCGGAACAAAATGATCCCAAACAAAAATTGATGGAAAAGACTAACATAAAAGAAAGTAAGAAAGAGCTGAGGAACTCACATGATGACAGAAAGGACATTCGAGCTAAATGATGACTGAAACTGATTTCAGAAGTATGGTTGGTAAACAGTAAAAGGTGGGGTGAATGGTAAAGTAGGGCGGATCATGATTCATTCATGGATGATAAAGTTGGATGAATCTTGATTCTTGATCACCCCAACAGGAAAAAAATAAATAAATAAATAAAGGTAACTCATGTTGTCTTGTTCGAGATTCTGAAAATCCCGCTTATCTTTACACCTGGAGAGAGTAATAATTAGTACTAAACCCCGACTACTATTTTCCCTTCCTAAAGCCCGGCCACTATTTTCAGCATCTTTGGACCTTCATGCCATGTATGATAACAGGCTGATTATCCTATGATAGTTAATTACTGTCAAACATACACTCATAACCGCTAACAAAAAAATGTGGTAAAAATATATGAGCAGAAGAGCTATAATTTTGTAACTTTATGTTCAAATTAAATGATTTATTTTTTTTTGAGGAAATTAAATGCTTTATTCAAAGATTAACAAGAAAAATAAAATGTGGGTAGTGTTCAAAGTTTTTTTTTTTGGTTTTGTTATGAGGTTGCATCTTGTAAGATTTAAGAGCCTGTCTTTGACCAAATATATGTATGCATATATCAAAGGTAATCAACCATGTAAACATATACTCATTTAATGAAAACCTCCCTTTTGAATTGTTATATTTTGAAACTTTTATTAATTTACTATAGGTATTTGATGTATGTATGGTAACTGATGATTCAAAAATGTATTCACGGAAACATAAAAACTTTTTTGAA